AGATATTTCTGGTTATATGATGACAGTTGCCAAGTCGGAGTTTTGTTTACGATAGAAGGAAATGTCCACACGGCTCTGTGGAATAGAGAATAGGAGGTTATGTATTAACTTCTCAGAGCGTTCACACAAATTTATATACAAATGCAAAACAATTCTACGAAGGATAATTTCCTCAAGGAATAAAACTTCATAAACGCTCGAATGATAAGAGAGATTTTGGTAATTTCCCGTAAACGAGGTGTAAAGAATCCTGAATTTGATAAACTGACGGTTCTGTAACAAAGTCCTTATTTTTAAATTGGGGTTAGTTCAGCTGAGAAAATACATTGGGTGGTAAATACCTCCTACTTTATACGTTAAACACTAATTCCAACACATTCAAGATAGATAGATAGATAGATAGATAGATAGATAGATAGATAGATAGATAGATAGATATGAAGAGACTGGGATAGATAGATACTGAAGAGACTGGGATAGATAGATAGATAGATAGATAGATAGATAGATAGATAGATAGATAGATAGATAGATAGATAGATAGATATGAACAGACTGAGATAGATAGATAGATAGATAGATAGATAGATAGATAGATAGATAGATGCTGAAGAGACAGGGATAGATAGATAGATAGATAGATAGATAGATAGATAGATAGATAGATAGATAGATAGATAGATAGATAGATGAAGAGACTGGGATAGATAGATGCTGAAGAGACTGGGATAGATAGATAGATAGATAGATAGATAGATAGATGGATGGATAGATAGATGGATAGATATGAACAGACTGAGATAGATAGATAGATAGATAGATAGATAGATAGATAGATGCTGAAGAGACAGGGATAGATAGATAGATATAGATAGATAGATGGATGGATAGATGGATGGATGTGAACAGACTGAGATAGATGGATGGATAGATAGATAGATAGATAGATAGATAGATAGATAGATATGAAGAGACTGGGATAGATAGATGCTGAAGAGACTGGGATAGATAGATAGATAGATAGATAGATAGATAGATAGATAGATAGATAGATAGATAGATAGATAGATATGAACAGACTAAGATAGATAGATAGATAGATAGATAGATAGATAGATAGATAGATAGATAGCGGAACGAAAGTTGCTTCTCTGTGTCTTGCCAGAAACTTTTTCTCGTCTGAGTCCATCCTTCAAATCTATAAATAAACCATCCGTCCTTGCATGGAATACTGCTGTCATATATGGTCTGGTGCCTCCACTGTACGTCTCGGGGTCCTCGACACAATTCAGAGACGGATCTGCAATATGATCGGTCCTGATCTGGCATCTCATCTACAGTTACTTTCTCACAGATGTGCCGTGGCTTCCCATTGACTCTTCTACAAATACTTTCACGGCAACAGCTCCGACGAGCTACTTTTGCTGGTTCCCAGCCTACAGTGATTTTTTTCCCGTTAAGCTCCGAATCTACAAATGAAATAAATCAAAAATACAAAGGTAATATATTGTATATAAGCAATCAAATGTTCCTTATACATACATAGTATTTCTTGTATCATTATTTAGTTGTTCTTTGTAGCCCCATTAAAAACCATTTTGAAATAAAACAAACCTGGGTGTCTTTGATGCCATTTTTTTCCGAATTCGCCACCTAATTTAATGCCATTTGTCATTTAAATGATAAATAGATTTTCAGAATATCAACGCTATTTTTTAATTATTTTTGCTTTACTGATATTAAAATAAAGTCATCATAAATGAAGAATAAATGCAGAGCTACGGATTAGATCATCTTTAATCTAGTCATTTTCTTATCTTTCTATTAATGAGATTTAATATTGTTGTAGCATACCTCCGGACGATAATGGATATGTCCCCATTCACATAAATTCAGTAGTAAATACTGTATGTTGGTCTGCAGTTGGAGATTCGCCTGCAGCTGTGCTGGTCAAACTCTCAGCCTCCGGGCAGAGAGGATCCCCAGATGTCGAAGGGAAGAGTCTCGTCTCGGAAAACCGCTACCCGACCCCGTTTTATACGGAGTCTACGAAAGATTTTTGGCCTAGCCTACAGATACCCTATATTAAATTCGGCTTTGTGCCACATCTAACCGCGTCTGAAGGTTCGTAGATATCATGCAGTTGGAGATTCATTGTGGAATTCACTTGACTCACTTCTAGCAGCTGAGTACTTCTTCTACGCGCCACTCTTGAATCTTATATGTGTTGTTCTTGTCCTAAGTATTATCGTTCATTACCAACTTTCGTTTGATTATTCTATTCAGTAACCTTCACTAGGTTACAACAAATATATTCTACGGAGCGTCACGAGTCCCTTAATCCATTAGAATTGCAGGGCTTCCACATGCACTGCATCCATAGCAGCAGTGGTGTGTCTAGGGCAAGATAGCCTGACGGAACCCATCCCTCTTCAGGCTGATTTGAATTCAAGGCTTATCTTCTTCTAGATTTGTTGCTACCTAAAGGCAAGAAACCTAGTTAACCCTTCTATTTATGACACAGCTGAGAAAGAGAAAGCAAAATTGTAAATTTTTCCAACGGTATTTGTGTGGAAGGGAATGTAACTAACTCGGTCTAAAATTCGAACTCGGTTCACCGATTTTCCTTTACGAGTTAACGCACCACTGCATCAGAATTGTTCTCTTTAAATGATACAATTAGATTCCCAGTGCCATAACGAATAATTTTATATTTCTATTTCTCGAAAGAAATGTAGTTCTACAGAAGGATACTGAGCATTCCATGAACGGAGCGAGTAAGCAACGAGGAAGTTTTCAAAAGATGATAACAAAAAGAACACTTAGAATCAGAAAGAGACAGCTGAAATTTTGTAATGAGAAAGGAGGGCTTAGAAAATTGAATCCTCACAGGAAATATTGAGGGCAAGAGAGACCTAGAAAGGCAACATGACATCTACTTGACCAAATTATGCGAAAATGAATGGCGGAACGTGGGAAAGAGCCTTGACAAAGGGAGAAACACTGCCCACCTCCTGAAGGGACACAGCACATTGAAGAAGAAGATTGCTTGAGTACAGGATGTGCAGGTGGTGTAACTGATATGAAAGTGGAATTAGTGAGATGAGTTTCGCAGAGTTGCCTGTGATAGGCATGAATCCGTCTCCCGTGTATATCAGAATAGAATAGGCTCTCTAGCCTTGGCTGGAAACCAGTCTAAAAGAAGGAAAACAATGAATTCCAAACCCTGAAGAAAGAAACGGGAAACCAGGCTATTATCTTTCTCAAAAATGCATGCCGTCCTGGGTATGACGATAAGCAATATCCGCGTCCTTGGTAAGACGATAAACTACATCCCACGGTAAGGCCTCTGATCAGGAGGTTTTGAGGAGCGTGAAAGCACTTCTTAATTGTTGATGTTCTCAGTACCAGCCTGAAACTGGGTGGTAGCACCTGCCAGGGTCCAAACTATGGGCAAACTGAGGACAAAAACACTATGAAAGTGTAAAAATAGGTTTTAATACTAGCAATAAATTTTTGAGGAAAAATTATTACCAACGATACATTATTACCAGCAATGCATATTTGGAAAAAAATATGACCAGCAATAAAAATCTTTTCGGCATTAAATAACCCATTCACTTTGTTATGCCGTAAAACAAACCAAACCAAACTAATATATACTGAGATAGATAGATAGATAGATAGATAGATAGATAGATAGATAGATAGATAGATAGATAAAAGAGAAGAGAAAGTAAATGAAGCAGATAGATAGATAGATAGATAGATAGATAGATAGATAGATAGATAGATAGATAGATAGATAGATAAAAAAAAGTATTACCAGCAATAAAAATCTTGTCGGCATTAAATAACCCATTCAGGTTGATATGCCGTAAAACAAAAGAAAACAAAACAAACCAAGAATGCATGACAATTTACAGATAATAAAGGAATGTGTGGAGAGTCATACTCGCCTAAATTCTTTAAAAAAAATTCCGAGTAAGAGAGAGAGAGAGAGAGAGAGAGTCCAGACACACTAAATCTTGATGCAGTAAGTTGTCTTACATAACCTATGTATATATACACATATATAATATTTTTCGTGACTAAGATATGCGTGTAAAAAAATTCCATGTAGACTATTCACAAATGAAGTCTTCCTCCTATGAATGATGTTTTCATTTGAAATGCATTTCATGACAAGTGTCATGTTTGAAAGATTTTTTCTTATTTTCCATGTCTCTGGGGCTCATCCTTCTTTACATAGAAGAAAATACATTCACCAATTCTGATAGTTACAAAACCTTGCATGGTACAAGGTCAAAATCAAAGAGGTACATAAGAAATATTTTAAGCAAGAAAATCATTATTCTAAAAACGACACCAGTAGAAAATAGGTACACTATCCCAGTTACGACAAAGTTATTTACTAAAGATTAACTTAACCGGGAACAAGGCAATATTAATGGGTCACCCCGTAAAGAACGTCTTTTTCACAGTAGTAAGATATGCTACCACTGCATCAAAGTAGACTTTACTGTTTGCTTGCGTCAGTCTTAAAAATGACCAAAATAGTGACTTTTTAGTAAATGTATGTCTGGCACAAGGCCCCAATAGTGGAGCAAGTAGTGAGGAGGACTTCATTACAATGGTGAATCACGTAAAATCAGACAAAGCGTTCAGTTGTTTTGAAAGCAGAAAATGTCTGTAACATTATCACAAAAGCTATTTTGTGTTTCTGTACACAACTAATTTTGTGCAAGGCTGAAATTGAGAAATACAGATATGTATATATCACTCTGTTCATATCTATCTATCTTGAAACTCGTGGCGATTTCCGCTTTGGCGGATTTCGCCCAGTTTTAACAAATAAGGATCGTTTCTCTATCTATCACATTCTTTTCATTATCTATCTATCTATCTATCTAGCTATCTATCTATGTTTGTTCAAAACTATTTATCTACCTTAGTCTGCATAGATGGATCTATCTCAATCTGTTCATCTCTGTTTATCTATGTATCTATCTATCTATCTATCTATCTATCTGTCTGTCTGTCTGTCTGTATGCATGTCCCAGTCTATTAGTATCTATCAATCTCTCCTAATGTCATCTATATATCCATCTCTGTTAATATCTATATATCTATCTATTTCGATCTTTTCACTATCTATCTATCTATCTATCTATCTATCTATCTATCTATCTATGTTTGTTCAAAACTATTTATCTTCCTTAGTCTGCATAGATAGAAGTATCTCAATCTGTTCATCTCTGTTTATCTATCTATCTATCTATCTATCTATCTATCTATCTATCTATCTATCTATCTATCTATCTATCTATCTATTCTTCGTTTGTGTCAATCCATCTATCTATCTAGCTATCTCTGTCTGTTCATATCTTTATATTTATCTATCTATACAAGTGTGTCCAGATAATTTAAGCTGTATGTCCAAATCATTATCTGTTTCATTCATATAATTCAGTCTATCTATATCTATTTATCTACAGAAATATATTTATACAGTTAATTCTTATATAAATGTGCAATTATTGGATACACATTAAATATCAACTTAACTTGAAATCTGTTTCGCGAAGAGCTGTCTGACCCTAACTCTTCTGATTTGTGCCAATCTGCAATTACAAGTACACACGGCTATAAATACTAGGCACCTGCCGTAAATTCTGGATAAAAAAGCTCATCTCGCAGTAAGGCATGTAACTAAACTGACAGCGAAAGATATTTTTTGCTTACTTAGTAGCAGAAACTGTTGCATATTCTGCAACTGCACCTTGATTCAAACACAGGTGAATACCAGAATTCTGAAAGCAAATTTTCAAAGAAGCTGATTTGCATTCCTTAAAAGACTGCTTTGTACCAATCTCTCTTCACTATTTGTCTTCGAGTTAATCTTAGCAAATATTATATATGCAGTTATAATGTAAATTTATAAAGATTTTTTTTGTAACAAATGAATATATATATCTATGTATGAGAGACGTTTTCAAGAGAATTATTTGTGTGTGAAGATGTGTATGTATGTATACGATTATCAGAATGTACGTAGTTATTTTGATATTCAATCAGTCTTTTTTTTTTGTCTTTTGTGTCAGCATCATGAAAAGCGTCGTCATCTACCAGAACAAAAAAATCCCTGTAGAATTCAAGAAGGATGGAACACTCAAGAATGTCGAAATTGATATCGTCAACCTGCAAAAGGACAAAAGATGGAAAAATGTAAGTCTCTAAACTATTCCTTGGGGAAAATAACCACTTCTTATATTTCTTGACCTCCCTCCAGCCCTTAATAGGTTTTAGTATCTTTCATTTCAAAACTATATCTTTCTCTCAATTGTCGATTTTTCCATACCTCATTTTTCTCTCTCTTTATATCCCTTCCCTCCGTCACGCACACATACATACACCCGCACAAATATTATATATATATATATATATATATATATATATATATATATATATATATATATATCCAAAAAATATTATTTTTTTTTAATGGTAATATATATATATATATATATATATATATATAGGCCCACATATATATAGATATTTTCTGTTTATACGTTATTTTTATAGATACAAATATTTAAGTAAATGCTCTGTTTTATAATAAAGAGTATTAACAACATTTACCGGCCTGAATGTCTGAGAAATTCCTTAGAAAATATGTCTCCTCCGCTAGGAATCGAACCTGTTTCCTACACGGAACCGTCATGTCGCCTGTGAAATTTGTAGTTTAAAAATAGTAATTCAGACTTACTAAGCAGATGCTTCCTCTGTAGCTAAGTGGTATAGCACGTCAGGTGATATGACGGTTCCTTATTGGATACACGTTCGTTAATACTGTTTATTATAAACAAAGTATTTACTTAAATATTTGTATCCATAAAAAACGCATAAAAAGAAAATATATTAAAATAATTGTCGGACTTAGTCTATTTCTTAATATATATCATATATATATATATATGTGTGTGTGTGTGTGTGTGTGTGTGTGTGTGTGTTTGTAGGCACAGCAATCCTTCTTTCATGCACATTTCATTGAAAATGACAGACAAGGTGCTTTTTTTAGTTTTTTATGCAATTTCTCATGCGATCTAATTTTTTTTTTCCTTTCGGATGATAAATTATATAAAAACTGTCTGAATGTTCTTCTTATCTTAGTGCTAATTTGTTGTATGTATGTTTTATAAAATGTTTTAATTTTTCAAAACACGGTCAAGAAATTAAGTCCATGTTCAAAGTTAATATTATTAGAGTTTTGGTTTGTGTTTTTATTAATAAGGCTTCCATTATTTTTAACCTTTTTTTTTTTGGCATGTAGATGATGCTATTATATTAGTGTTGTCAACATATCTCCGTGAATATTTAAATGATATATAAGTGAGCTATGATCAGAAAGGTGTAGAGTGTGTCTTCGTGTCAAACATGTTGTAGTGTGGCCTATATAATTATTAACGAATTTTGATTGATCAAGAATACAATTCCTTAATGGACATTTAAATACGTAAATAATATTTGCCATATTTAATTTTGTTCTTGGAGGTGAATTATTGTTTTTAACTATAAGGTTAGATGTTTTAAATCATCATCCGAAAAGAAAAAAATTATTAGATTGCATGAGAAATTATATAAAAAACTAAATAACAGCACCGTGTCTATCGTATTCAATGAAATATGAATATATATATATATATATATATATATATATATATATATATATATATAAAATTAAGGAAACCATCCAATTACGCTACCATGGTTTCAAACTTTAGGTACCCTCAGGTAATGTAGGCCAAAAACAATCAATCTCTCTCACTCTTTATATATATATATATATATATAGAGAGAGAGAGAGAGAGTATCGTAAAAATTTTGGTATTATTAACGTAACGAGAATCAGTGTATCTATGCGCTCAACCGACGGTGACGATGAAAATGTCGGAATCAGGCGAGGAGATCAGCCAATTACGCTATCATGGTTTCAAACTTTAGGTATCCTGTACGCCAAAATCAATCAATCTCTCTCTCTCTTTCTCTTTTCTCTCTTTATATATATATATATGTGTGTGTCTGTGTGTGTGTGTGTGCGCGCGTGTGTGTGTGTGTGTGTGTGTGTGTGTGTGTGTGTGTGTGTGTGTGTGTGTGTGCTGTCAATATACTATATAACACCCTGGAGCGCTTAGCGTTGGAGTGGATAGAATGAAGATCAACGTGTTTTAATGGACTCAGCAGTTTTCAATCTCTTTGTCTGAATCATCTTCAAGAAGCGAGAGCAAGATCTAAAAGGGCAGCCAATCTAACAGTGATCTCATCTCACAATCCACACACTTGCTCCATATGTGGCCTTCTTTATAAATCACTAGCGGGTCTTAAATGCCACTTAAGATTATCGCACAAAATTTTAATAACTGAATCAATTAAGCCGTCAGATCTTCATACGTCGAAACCGACGGGACAGTCCATTATATATATATATATATATATATATATATATATATATATATAAGATGAGATGACTTATTAAATAGATGTGCGATGGAGATGACATTAAATAGGTCAATGTCTGGTCCTTACCACTCCTCCCTTACTCTTAAGTATTTTAATAAAATTAGATTTAAAATTATTCCTATCTCTCCCTTCCTTCTCTAATTTCGACTATATCTGTCGTCTTCCTCCTCCTCCTTCTCCTCCTCCTCTCTCTATCACATTACATCAACTTAAAACTACTCCTCAAAAGTGTATGAAAATAATACGTAAATTTAAACCATTTTTATGCTTGGAAATGTGATCTGAAGAACCAGGAAAAAAACACCTTCCTGTGGAAATAAAATATAATCAATGGACTTTTTTTATTTTGTCTGTTTTCTAATTTTAGTTAAATTAATTTATATATATATATATATATATATATATATATATATATAATTTACCTTCCTTGAAAGATTATTATATATTTCTCGTCTATCCTAGTCAGTCTAAGCTCTTACTGTATCTTTCTTTCCCTCACCATCTTTTTTGCTCTTTCCCTCTCTGTATCTATCTATCTTTCTGTCATTTTTATTTCTCATTTCTTTCTTAATTCACTATTTCCATTTCTCTGTTACATTTTTTCTCTATCTCTCTCTTATTTTATCCATTTTCTTTTCTTTTCTTTTTTTTTTTGGCTCCTTTCTCTTTTCTTACGTTTTTCTCTATTTTTATTTCTTTCTTTCCATCTCTGTTTCTCACTATCCCGCCCCTTTTACTATTCTTTGTCCTCCTCTTTCTCGTTTTCCTTCGTTTCGGAGATTTTTTCTTTTCTTTTTTCACTCTCACTGACCTAAACTAATAGATTTCCCCTTTTTTTATTTATTTTTCTTCCTTCTCTCTCTCTCTCTCTCTTTTTCTCTCTCTCTCTTCAATTTCTCTATCTATCTCTCTTTCTCTCTTTCGGTCTTTCCTTTTCTATTTTCTCCCTTCCATCTTTTTCTTTCTTTATCTTTCTATCTCCGTCACCTTTTCTCTACTTTAATTCTTTTTTTTATTTTTGCCCCCTTTCTCCCCTCTTGCTATTTATTTCTCCCTCTCGCTCTCTCTTCCGTTACCCTTAATTTTTCTCTTCCTATTTCTCTTTTGTCTCTTTTTCTTTCTTTACTTACTTCTCTTTTTATCCCCTTTCTCTCTCTCTCTCTCTCTCTCTCTCTCTCTCTCTCTCTCCTCTCTCTCCTTCTCTCTCTAAATCTCTAAATTTCTTCTCTCGAATTTCTTTCTCTTTCTCTGTCATTCTCTCTCTTTTTTATTCACACTTTTACTCTGTTTTCCCTTTTCAAAATATGTTTTATTATTTCATTCGGATTTTTATAATTTTTACATCAGGAGTTAAATTAGGTTTTAAAATATTTATTTTAATTTCGCCATAATTTCTTTGTTTCATTTTATACTTTTCTTTCTTTTGTTTCTTTTTTATTTTAGTTTTTCAATCTTTTCCAATTTCATTTTTTTTATCCTTTATCTTCTTCTATTATCCTCTTTTTGTTTTATTTTTATTTTTCTACAATTTCAATTCTTCACGTTTAACTTTTACTTTATTTTCTATTGCATTTTCCCGTATTGTGAAAATCACGTTTTAATAAAAAAAAATTAAAAAAAAAAAATAAGATCTAAATCCTGAATAGAAGCGGGGCATTAATAATAAAAAAATCGTTCTTTTCTGAAGTCCAAAACGACTTAATGATAATGAATTAATTGTATAAAAAAAATATTGGTTCTTTATCTTCTGTAGTTTCCAAAATAAATGAATGCCTTCACATTCTCTAAATTACAAAGATGCAACTACTTTGATGAGCAAATGAATATTACTTTTCTGACTTCTGCATTCTTATTATGTTTATCTATAATCGATTTTTGCTGTTTTATTTGATTATTTTTAATTTCTAAAAATCACTCTTCAGTGACCCAATTATTTCTAACATTTCACGCAACAATTTCTTACAGAATAACATCGCATATAATCGAATAGGCGATTATTAAGCTTCCGGTAAGGATTTACTCACGTGACCCCTGTCTAGCACAGTTTGAGTTTGAAGTGTAAGTCAGCCAGTGAGAAGCAAACTCACACTGCATTATAACTTGCAAGTTATTGCTCTTCGGCAAAGCCCTGATTAAAACCTCTGTGCTTTTCACTTCCCTCAGTTAAAAGAGCAAAGACATTGACGTTCGTTTTTCGATTTGTTCAAATTGCGCTCGACATATCTCACTGAATTAGAGAGATGAGTACTTTGTTGTCCGTTGTTTTCTCTGTCAATGTCTTTCTCCCTCCCCCTCTCTCTCTCTCTCTCTCTCTCCTGTACCTCTCTTTCTCTCTCTCTCTCTCTCGTTGTATCTCTCTTTCTTTCACTGTATCTCTCTTTCGCTCTCTTTCTCCCTCTGTATTTCTCTTTATCTCTCGCTGTATCTCTCTTCCCCTCACTTTTTCTCTCGCTGTATCTCTCTTTCTCTCGCTGTTTCTCACCCTGTAACTCTCTTTCTCTCTTTTTATTTCTCTTTCTCTCTCTGTGTCTCTCTTTCTCTCGCTATATTTCGCTGTATCTCTCTCTCTCTCGTTGTATCTTACTTTCTCTCTTTTTTCTCTCTTTCTCTCTCTATACCTTCTCTTTCTCTCTTTCTTTCTCTGTATCGTTCTCTCTCTTTCTTTCTCTCGCTGTATCTCGTTGTATCTCTCTTTCTCTCTGTATCTCTCTTTCTCCCTCTGTATCTTTCTTTCTCTTTCTCTAGCTGTATCTTTCTCTCTCTATCTCTCACTGTATCTCTCTCTTTCTCTCTATTCTTCTTTCTTTCTCTCTCTTTATCCCTCTCTTTCTCTCGCTGTATCTCTCTTTCTCTTTAACTCTCTTTCTCTCACTGTATCTCTCCTTCTCTGTCTTTCTCTCTATATATCTTTCTTTCTCTCGTTCTATCTCTTTGCTTTCATATCACTGCAACAACTGATGAATAATTCGCTTTTCCACTGCCATTCTCGCGTTGTCGAATTTCTTTGTCTCTCTCCAGTTTTTCTTATAAACAGTTCGATACAAGACAGTTTGTGTAAATTTATGAATCAATCAATTGATTGTTTCGCTGTAATTAAATTCTTTCGAACTGGATTCGTTTCGCTTTTCGTGTGTCAAATCAAAGCGGATAGCAAAGATCTTTAGTCTATCGTAATATCTTCTTTATTATTTTTTTTTTATGAACATTAAAGGCAAAGACAGCCAACCTTGTAACAATTCGAACAATACGTCTTCCATACGAATTTCACTTTTGCTTTCTTTCTTGCTCGTCTTTTTCAGTCTTTGTGTACTTCCTTCCGAGTCCCTCTTACCGTTTTCTTCTCTTCAATCTAACTCGACAAGATAAATTAGCTTTTTTTTTAGTAACGTCTATCTTACGTTAGCCTTTCTTTTTCTTGCTATTTCACAATTTTGGAAACAAAATGATCGGTGAAAAAATCAAAAACCACAAATAATAGAGTAAAATAGAAATTACATTTCTTGAAAGGTAAAAAGATAACATTTTAGAATGTGCAACAATTTAGCCTGAAACATGAACCAAGAATATCAAGAGAAGCCTTAGAATACACGCTCCAAATGTCTGCAGTTCAGTTGAATGATTTGTTAAATGCGGCGTACAAAGTTGTTGATAACGCGTAACGAGTACGTTACCCTAAGATATTCACAAGTGCCATGAGCTTCAAAATTCTTGGCCAATTTGAAAATCTAACTTTTGTTTGAAATTGAACCTCCTTCTGTATCTTGCTTGAACAATCTTGAAAGACTTAGTTTCGTAATATATCTTCACACAAAAGATCTGCTCCATCGTCCAAAGCAAGATGTCGCCATATTTGGTTGAATAGATCAAAAGGTTAAGTATTTCCTAGCAATAATCTGAAAAGAGAAAGAGAATACAGTCAACGGGGATGATCTGAAAGGGCCACTGTTTTGCTTCAACAATTGTGAAATACCCTAGACGTACTTCTCATATTCATGCACTATTTTTATATTTTTACAGTAAATATTCTCAAATTCCGGTCTTTATTTTATCATTCTGTCAGATTCCGAAACATATTTGATGCATATTTGATCCCAATTCATATATATATATATATATATATATATATATATATATATATATAATTATATATATATATATATATATATATATATATATATATATATATATATATATATATATATATATATATATATATATATATATATGAACAGGATGAAATATAAATCAAAAACATATTTGAATACATATACATCGAAACATATTTGATTCCAATTCATATATATATATATATATTATGAAATAGACAAAGTCCGACAATTATTTTAACACATTTTTATGTTTATACATTCTTTTTTATAGATACAAATATTTAAGTAAATGTTCTGTTTATAATAAACAGTATTAACAACATTTACCCGCCTGAATGTCCGAGAAATTTTCCCAGAAAATATGCGTCCTCCGAACCGAACGCTCCTCTGTGGCTCAATCGGTAAAAGCACGTCAGGCAATATGACTGTTCCGTATAGGATACAGGTTCGATTCCTATCGGAGGACGCAGAGAATTGAAAGCCGGACAGTTACGATATCAGGCAGATGGCATACCAACTGTGGCAATGAGCCTCGGTGACGAAGGGGTAGCGAATTAGACTCGATATAGCGCCGCTCGGTCACATATTTCATGGTGAAACTCATCCGTGTTTCCCTTGCCCATAGGACTGTGCGCCCACGATCAGCTGATGAGTCCCAAATATAGGACTAAATATGCGTTTCTCTTTGCCTCGTCAGCCTTACTTTCCCTGACGATCCGTTTAGGTGAAACCTAGGTAGGTTTGTCTGGCTCACTGGGTGTATCTAGGTCTGCTCTACGGTTGTATTGAGTGCTTTTGTTAGTTAGTTGTTTACTCGTATCGGGGTTTTTCCTTTGGACTTTGAACCTGTATCTGTGCGATTTTTTTTCGACAGACTTTCATGTTTCTAGCTCTTTCTTTTTTTAATACCTTTTTTTTCCCTCGAGATTGATTTGATTATTAGCAAATCAAAAATTCGAGGGTTTTTCGAAACGAGTCTAGTTATCTATAATTATATATATGTGTGTGTGTGTGTGTGTGTGTGTGTGTGTGTGTGTGTGTGTGTGTGTGTGTGAATTGGTGTCAAATATCGATTAAATATGGATCAGAATCCGACAGAATTCTATCATAAGGAAGAAATAGGAAACGTTTATCAATCTACCATGTTTCGCCTTTATTAAAGCTTCATCAGAGAATTAGATATGGAAAAAAAGAAAAAAATAGAAAAATCTGATATTCTGCTTCGTCCTCCACTGACCTTACCACTAACATTACTTCTGATACCATCGATTAAGATAATAAAATAGGAAACAATATGGGTTATTGGAGAGAAGGTTCATCCTCTACTGTCATACCACCAACATCGCCTCTGACACGATCGGTCAACATAATAAAATAGAAAGCATTATTTTCGGAGGCACCCTCGTAATTTATTCACCCCACCCCACCCACGGTTTGGTGTTGCCACTTTTACGCCAAACAATGAACGAATAATACCCTTGTTCATTATATTTATTGTCTGAAGTGAATACATGACCTAAAATTCGACTAACAAGCAGATAAAAAACACCAAATGATTTTTTCCATCTTCTGGACTTTGGCTTCCTATAGAAATGCGTCAAACACGATATTTGGCTATATTCGATGCCAAATTCTTTAACAAGAGATCTTTTTTTTATTATTCTTGTTACAGATTTTTCTTTTCCTTATTTCGTTTTATTATCTTGTGGCCAATTCTTTTTATGGAAAATTATCGAATCGTTCCAATGATAATTTATTTTCTTCTTTCGGTGAAATCGATTTGTTAAAGTGTTCACACTTTGAAGGGATTTGTTTTCTCTTCAAAATGGAACCACTTGATCTTTTCTCTTCTTCCCTTTGCCATTAACATAATTTGACATCAAGGGAGATTAATGGCTATAAAAGGATGCCTTTATCAATTACTCGGTGTCTGCTAACAAATAGTAATCTTATTTTCTTGAGACAAGATAATCCCAGTCAAAACCTGTACAGTTAAATTAAACATTTTTAATGTTCTTCCATTTTTAAAAGAAGCGTGAAATAATATTTAATATCAAAAATATTCTTTCTGTTTTAGGAGATTTAAATACAATTGCTTATAGTTTTCGGTTCAACAAGTGCACGCGTACACTATTTACATTATTTGGACTATTGTACTCATCTTTGTCGTCATGTTTATTACAACGTTTCGGCCGTTGTACGCTCCGGCCTTCTTCAGGTGGTTGGAATGTCGAACTGAACCCTTTATTTTGCTCACTTGGATATACTGTTCCAGTTTTCCACATGCCATGAATGTCAGTTATCAGTTATTTCCTGTTAATTCCCCTGTCCAATTTCTCCACTGCCTTAACCGGGTATTGAACTCACACTCTTTGGATGCTGTTACTGGATCTAACAAACCTTGGTTAGATCCACTAGTCCGAATAATGTAAATAGTGTACATAATACCTCATCTCAGAAATATAGACAGATACTGAAGTGCACGCGTGTGATATTTTCACCAACAGTATGAAAATTCTATATATATATGTGTGTGTGTGTGTGTGTGTGTATACTTTCAACTAACACGAACCATGCACACAAATATTTACTCATTCACATAGAGGCGTACACAAATATACAGACACACACGTGAGCTTAAAACATTTACATATATGCATGCATTGAAGTGATAAAATTCACATACACAAATGCAAATTTATATGCACATACAGTTTTATACACACACACACAAGAAAGAAAATCACAATATTGATATATATTTTTAATCCTATCTAAGATTTCGGCTTACATAAGCCATTATCAAAGATGACAATTACTGTACAATATATTAAACAATAAACGAACAAGACAGTGATGATAGTCTGTTTCTGTTCACATGGAAGATTTCCAAGCAACGACAAACTCGTGCATATAAGACGCTGGAAGAGAAAATCTCACCGCAGCTCATGACGTCACACATGACCACGCGAGAGTGAATTCGAGAAGTATTAAGTATGGGAAACCGTTGGTATAAACCAATGGCTTCTGTTACCAATTATAGGCATTTAATCATGGAGATTTAATCATGTGGAGATTTCATAGTTTATTTTGTTCAGGTTAGATTTCAACTGTTTTATGTATACAGCTTCAAGAATTTTTAGTTTTTATTTATTGTTTTCATGTTTAAGTATAGTTGTGTTTTCAACAAAGATTTTCCAGAATTGTGTATGCGGCCAGGTACGTTGTTTTAAATGCCTAAAAATAATAGCTATCATTCAAATGTAGTGTCAAGCTTCGTTAAAGCGAGTTTGTGGCGTGACCAACATCCGGCGTCCTTTTAAAAGGACTCTGGTGAAATAAATTATTATAATGGTACCTTAAAGTGGTCTGTTTCTCTTATATATATATATATATATATATATATATATATATATATATATATATATATATATATATATATGCATGCATGTATGTAAATAGTTACGGCCGGAGCAGAAATAGTGACATACCTATATACAAGTGAAACGAGAAAGGAACAGATTGCAACAGACATAAATTCGTATGCGGTCGTGCATTCCTCAATAGCGCCAATATTCAAAGTTCAAACTAAGGTAAAAAAAAAAAAAATTCGTATCTTATTACCAAAAGAGGAGTGCACATTCTCTCTACTTGAAATTTAGCACAACTTAATCCTTCTGCCCTGCAATTTACCTTGTGCCAGACTAATTTAATCGTTTGATAGATCTGAATAGTCAAAGAAAGAAAGAAAGAAAGAAAGAAAGAAAGAAAGAAAGAAAAAGAAAAAAAGAAAGAAAGAAAAAGAAAGTACGAAAAAAGAAAGAAATAAACAACCACAAAAAGAAAGTAAAAAAGAAACTAAGAAACAAAGAAAAGAAAAAAAACAAAGAAACAAAGAAGAAAGAAAAAGAGAGAAATAAAGGAAAAAGAAAAAAGAAAAAAAAACTGCCACAAAAAAGAGAAACAAAGAGACAAGGAAACAAAGAAAAAAAGAAAAATGAAAGAAAAAAGAAAGAAATAATAAAGAAAGAAAGAAAGGTAATATAAAAAAGAAAAAGGAAAAAATGAGAGAAATATTCATTGAAATTGAAAAACATAAAGGATTACAATGAGATTAATCGATATTAGAAATAACTGAAAAATATTCAAGCTAAATGACTTCATGAATTATTCGTGAAAAGATCTCATTAAAAGCAGGTATTACTCTTTTGCAACCCCTCAAGGCGCCTTGCATCGCTTAATAAATATTAAAAATGAATCAATCTAAACGAATTCTGAATTCACTAAATACTAT